ATGTTTCCTCTCTTTACAAACTTTATCCCAAGCAACCAGTGGTGATTTAAACACTTGATCTGTTTTACCCCAAAGGAAATCTCTACACAAATCATCAATTTTCTGCAGGACCCTTGCTGGCAGAATATAATTTGAGGTCCAAAAAATTTGGACACCCAGAATAACAGTTTTTATGACATGAAGTCTACCAGCATATGACAAATGTTTCTGTTTCATCCAGATTTGAAATTGATTGGATATTTTCTGGAAAAGAGGAGTGCAGTCCATGTATGATAATCTCTTGCTAATTAGAGGAACACCAAGATATTTTATAGGGAAGATACCTTCAGGAAAACCCAGGCTTTCATGTATTAAGGCTTTAACAGATTCCTTAACTCCTCCATAGAAAATTGAACATTTTGAGAGATTTGCTTCAAGGCCAGAAGTGATTCCAAAATCTTTGACACACTGATATAATCTTTGGATTGAGTAAAAATCCCCTTTACAGAACAAGAGGAGATCATCAGCAAAGGTGAGATGTGTAATCTTGAGCTGACCACACTTAGGGTGAAACTTGAACTTCTTATCATGTTTCAGCATATTCAAATTTCTAGAGAGGTAGTCCATGCCTATAATAAACAGATAGGGTGACAGGGGGTCTCCCTGCCTCAACCCTCTTTCCCCTTTGAAGTATCCATGCATAGAGCTATTAAGAGAGATAGAATATTTAGGAGAAGAGATACATGTCATAATTCAGTTAGTAAAATCATTAGGGAAACCCAATCCTTTCAGCAAGCTCTCCAGGAAATCCCAACTGATTGTATCAAATGCTTTCCTTATATCAATGTTAAGCATAGATCTTGGGGATATCTGTTTTCTTCCATAATTCTTCACAAGCTCATGTGCTAATAGGATATTATTTGAAATTTGTCTACCCTTAACAAAAGCACTCTGAGCTTCATTGATGATAGAGCCAACAATAGTTTGTAGTATATTTGCAAGGATTTTTGAAATAAATTTGTATAGACAGTTGCAACATGAAATTGGTCGAAAATCTGCAGGAGTTTGAGGATAGTGTACCTTTGGAATGAGGGTAATAGAGGTAGAGTTTACAGCTCCAAGAAGTTTTCCAGTTTTGAAGAATTCTTCAATTGCTGAAGTAATATCCTCCCCCACAATAGGCCAAGCAGATTTGTAAAAAGAGGAGCTGTAACCATCAGGTCCTGGGGCCTTATTCTCTGGAATAGAGAATACAGCCAGTTTGATTTCCTCTTTTGTAACAGGACTAGATAGATTCCTAGCTTGAATATCAGTAAGGCATGGACCACTCTGGATTATGTTAATGTTTGGCTTGGTGGTTGAAATAGCAGTCCCCATTAGATTCTTGAAGTAAGAGATGAGTTCATCAGCAATATCATCACCTTCAGTGATTTTTTCCCCCAAGCTGTTATAGAGGACCATAACTCTATTATGGTGTCTGTTTGTCTTTATAACAGAATGAAAGAACTTTATGCTTCTATCCCCCTGGAGACACCATGCAACTCTTGCTTTTTGTTGATAGAAGGATAATTCACATTCCAAGAGTTTGTTATAAGAGCTAATGCACTCTTTCTCCTGATTAATAAGAGTGGAATTAAGAGGCTCAAGTTGAAGCATATTTTGGACATTCTCAAGCTCAGATTTGACTCTGAGGACTTTCTCACTGATATTGTAAAAGCTCCTTTTGTTTAGATCTTTTAGTGCATTCCTTAGGAGCTTCAGCTTAGTGTGCACTTTGAACATTGTGTATCCTTCAATGGGAGTTTGCCATACTGCTGCAACTGTAGAGAGAAATTTTTCATGTTTGGTCCACATTTGAAAAAACCTAAAAGGTTTTTTACCTTTGACATTATCCTCATATATACACACCTGGGCAGGAGAGTGGTCAGAGAAAAAAGGAGATAAGAATTCAACATGGCTCGAATTATGTTCTAGTAACCAGGAATCATTTACTAAAGCCCTGTCAAGCCTACTCCATATCCTTGTAGTAGAGTCCTATTTATTGTTCCAAGTAAAGAAACAACCAGTGGTTTTGAGATGTAACAGATTACAGTCTTCAATAAACTGATTAAAATCTTTAGAATCTGCTTCAGAAAGCATTGAGCCCCCTAGCTTCTCCTCATTGCTTAGTATGACATTGAAATCTCCACATATAAGCCAGGGTGCATTGCCTATGCTGTGGTATATCTGAGATAATTCTGACCATAGAGATTTCCTGGCTACCATATGATTTGAACCATAGATTGAAGATATAATACAATTTAATTTTCCATCAGTGGACTTAACAGCACATGTCACTTGCTGAGCTGAAAAACTGTTTATTTGAATATCCATAATATGAGGATCCCATAGTATAATAATTCTGGCTTTATCATTACTGTCCCCATTTGAAAACCAGTTCCAGTCTTTAGCTATCTTCTTAGCAATTGATTGAACATTTCCATCCTTAATCTTAGTTTCAAGAAGGGCTAGGAATGATAAGTGATATTGCATTCTGTGATTTTTCACCATATGTTGCTTAGGGGATTTATTTAATCCCCTAACATTCCAAAAGGACAGGTTCATAAATTTGAACCCCCCCTATCAATTTCAGAGGGATAAACTCCATTAGTCAGATTTGTCAAAGGAGAGAAAGAGTTTATAGATTTACTTTTTGATTTCCTGTTTTGACTCAGTGTCCAGGGGATATCATTTTCCTTCCTTCCAGAATCTGATTGTTGAGCCTGTGCAACATGCACAGATCTGAGAATTCCAATAGGTTCAACAAGTTGTTCTAGCCCTTTCAGAGAGTATTGTCCATCTGGGTTACCAACTGTGCCTTCAAGACTATTCAGTGTCTGCAAAACATGCACAGCATGCACAATATTTTCCCCAGCAGAAGAATTCCTACTATTTAGTTTTTTTTCAGAGGACTGAACAGGAAAAAAATCTGTTCCTTGCTGGAAAGTTTTATCAGATTGCACAGGAGGAACAATAACCAGAGGGTGGTGATCAATTTCCATAGAATCCTTATTTCCAGAATTTTCAACAACCACATTATCCTGAGGATTACCAACAGCTCCTTGCACTAGTTTAGGAACCCATCTTAGTGACCTAGATTTCCTTTTGCAGAAGCTAACTTCATGCCCAACCTGTTTACAGTGATCACACCATTTAGGCTTAAATTCATAGAAGACATTTTGCTTTATCAACTTTCCATTTGGCCCTTGAATAGTAATATGATCAGGAAGTTCAGATGGCAGTTTTACTTCTACAAGAACCCTGGCATAGGCAAGTCTCTGCCCGTTTGCTGTGAGCTTGTCTGTGGCAATTGGTTTACCAATTACACTAACAATTTTGCTTAAGCACTTAGCACTCCATAAATTTAGTCTTAAGCCTGGTAATTGAATCCACAGTGGATATGTATTGTCAAAATTCCTCTCAATTTCATCTTTATTTGACCAATGTTTTAAGAGAAGTGGCCTAGATCCAAAGAACCAAGGACCACTTTCAATGATATCACTCATTTCTTGCTCTGAATTGAACTTAAACAAGAATATCCCTGCTTTTAGGAGAAAAACCTCAAGGATTGCCAATGGAGCCCAAGCTTTCTTGACAAACATCTCCATTGCTTTGAATTTTGCATTCAGGCCTAGGACCTGTCCAATGAGGGAAAATTTCCACAAGGATTTACCCTCATTCCATTCCTCTTCTTCAAATATTACAGATTCTTTAGAAGTAGGAGGGATAAAATCCAGCACCATTCCACTTCCTGTTTTCCTATTATCTGCAAATAGACTAAGCCAGCTCTTTTTAACTTCATTGGCTGATTCTGTGTTCAGGTGCAGTTCATTTTCGTCATTAATGAATTCGTCAGGTTTTCGAATATTCTGAGATTTATCAGCATCAGTTTGAACTAATCTCTCAGTAAGAGAAACAGAATTTGGAGTCAAAACAGGAAATGATTGATCTGAGCTTTGAGACTGATCTAAACCTTGCGATTCAAGAGATTTAACTTCAAAAACTTCATCATCAGCCCAAGAAGATCGATGAGAACTACTCTGATCTTTACAAGAAGTCGAAGACTTACTGAGATGACGAGATCGCAGACCAACTGGCATCTGAGGCTTTGGATCTTCAAGAAACTTTGCAGATCTAAGGATTTCATCCACCGATTTCTTCATTTTTTCACCTCTAGGCCCCGTTGACCCCATGATTCCCAAATCTTCATCATCTTCACTGATTCTTGTATCAAAATGATCTTCAGAAGGTAGCAGACTTGGATTTGATTCTCGTAATCCAATGCTAAGAATCTTCTTACTACTGCTTCTCTTTTTTTTCACCATCAAGAACTCGGCGGGGGTGTAGTTAGCAGAGGAAAAAACGCTTGCTAACATGCACCACTGGAGAGCCCGCCACTTTTCTTCTAGGAGGGGATCGATAATAGACAACATTTAACAATAGAAGCACTTCCTCGAACTAAAAATTGCTGTATTTAATTTAACACTTATTGACAGGAAATGTGTGTTCATACATGTTTGACGTTTACATTTTTTTTGTGTAACCATTTGGTGTTTACAAATTTACAGCCTATTATTTACCATCAAATTGTATATAAAAATAGAATGTGGTGCGCCCTTCTTGTCAAAAGATAACTATTATATACTCTTTTTAGTAATTTTAGGCTCTTAATATGTCAATAGCCACTAATACACCAATTAGGCGAAACAATAAAGATTATAATTAGTAGAGGAAAAAGAAATAGAAGTGAAATAAATGATAAATGATAATACTAATTTAGCGGAGGAGATGACCCTTACAAGAACTAAATGTAGACAATATATGATAAATTGATGTCCATGTAGATTTTGTGTCTCGTTTCATTACTTTAGCCCCACCTTTGATTTAATTATATAAAAATAAAAATTAAAAAAACCTCTTGGTGTGAGGGATTAGTCATTGGTGATCACTGATATTGCTTTTACAAATTTCATGTGATGCAGCTAACCTTAGAGATGGAATCAAACAGTGATTCGAGCTGTTCGACACTATATACTTGTCAAAGCTCATCAACTAATAGGCAACATGCAGACGATGACTTCCATAGATTTGATGGGAGAAGCATTGACCACCTCAGTGACAATCAACATCAAGTAAGAAAACATAACCATAATCCACAGGTAACTACTGAGATTTATCAGTCGTAATATAACAAGCTTTTATTTAACTTACATCGGTTTTTTTAATCAAGTTAGGTCCTGAAGCCATTAGACTCTTAATTATGCTTATTATTATAAAATCATAAGGAATACTGCTGATTTTCTAGGTTAATGGGGAGCAAAGGGTGAAAAGTTCAGTGAAGAAGAATTATCCTCTGGATGCGCGAGAATCATTGTTAACCACATCAAAGAGTAAGACCAAGAACAAATCTAGAAAGAGTTGCCGCTGCAAGAGATTACTAGGCTGCTAAATTTTATGTTGAATGGGTTAATTTAGCTTCTTCTACTTTGTTGGTTTGTGATCTTTATAGTTCCTCACTTGACAGAGCATATGAAATAAACATTGTATTTGTTAATTAATTGAGAAGCTGTTTCTCACATGTAAGAGCTTGATTCTATGTGGAAGATCAAAAGAGTTCAAAGGAAAAGACTATTTTTGTTGTTGTATCTCTTAGGCATCTTATGGTTCTGGATACATTTTGTTTGGTCCCCATTTGCCCCAATTTCTTTTTTTCCCCCATATCTCAGTATGTTCAATTTTACAAGCTGTATCTTATCATTACACTTTCTTGTATGAGAAAGCGAAGTGTGGTTTTATAATCTCATGATTACTTAGGCGATTATGGTTGTTATTGATGATCGCATAGTATTTAGGTTGATTAAATACTAATAAATTAATATTTACGTTGGTGTCGCATAAGCAGTTGATTGATTATTAACAATTAATTGATGCGGGGCCTGGAAATCTGAACATGAACTTTTATTGGTCTAATAGAGCCCTATAATTTGTGTTTGCGTGCAAACCTAACACTCTACCTAATCTTATAAAAATACTCTATACTCTCTGGTAGCACAACTTGCAAGCATATGACATCAGAATGCATAGATGATGAATGTATAATGGGAAATTTGTGTCAACACCCCAATTTTAAGAACCCTATGTGATTAGCCCTTTTAACATTTCCCCCCATGTGTTTCAGTCCTCAAAAACCCCAAAAAAATGTGATTCGGTCCTTATTCCCGCCAACTAAGTATAGAGAGAGAAATAAAAAAAAAAAATCTTAAAATGCCCTTATTTCCTTATCTCTCTCTCCTCTCCAGATCTAATCTCTATGGCTCTTCATTCCTCCTCTCTCCTAACCCATCTCCTTCCTTCTCTCTCCCTCTTTCTTATTTTTCTCTCAGACATCGGCATCCTCCTTCGCCACCACCGACCTTGGGTGCACGCTCCGGCCATGTTATCTCCTTCTTCGACCTCGCCCTCCACCATTTTGGGTGCAAGTTCCACAAGACGTATAAGCTATCAGTTTTTTTTAAAGAAAATTATAATTTATTTTTGAACATCATGAAAAGATAAAAATTTAAAGAAATACCGGCTAAATGTGATTTTCGTTTGATAATTTTTTATGTTAAGTTCAAGTCCAAGGTAACTCTAATGAGTTGGAAGTGAAGTCCAAGGGCTTGTATGTTAAGTCTATTGGGTTGAATAATAAGTCCAATGGCTTGTATTTTAACTCTATTGGGTTAAATAATAAGTCGTGGAATGTTAAATGTAATAAATTATATGTTTAAGTCTAATTTATTAAATGTTAAGTGTAATCTGTTACATGTTAAGTCTAATGCATTGTACATTAAGTATAATTAGCGTGATGTTAATTTTAATTAGAGGAATGTCAAGTCAAATAAGTTGAATGTTAAGTCTAATAAGTTGAATGTTAAGTCTAATCAAAAGATTATCAAGTCTAATCTATTGAATGTTAAGTCTCGTTTTTTTAACTCAAATTGGTTTGATGTTAAATCTATTGGGTTGAATAATAAGTTCAAGGGCTTGTATATTAAGTCTATTGTGTTGAATAGTAAGTCTAAAGGTGGAATGTTAAATATAATAGATTATATGTTAAGTCTAATTTATTGAGTATTAAGTATAATTTGTTACATGTTAAATCTAATACGTTGTATGTTAAGTCTAATTGGCATGATGTTAATTTTAATTGGTTGAATGTTAAGTCTATAGAGTTGAATATTAAGTCTATTTTTTGGCCAACTAAGCATAGAGAGAGAAAAAATAAAAAATCTCAAAAGACCCTTATTAGAATTAACATCACATTAATTAGACTTAACATACAACGCATTAGATTTAACATGTAACAAATTATACTTAACATTCAACAAATTAGACTTAACATATAATCCATTACACTTAACATTCCACCTCTAGACTTATTATTTAGCCTAATAGACTTAAGATACAAGCCATTGGACTTATTATTAAATCCAATAGACTTAACATCGAACCAATTAAAGTTAACAAACGAGACTTAACATTCAATATATTAGACTTGATAATTTTCCAATTAGACTTAAAAAATGCCCTTATTAGACTTGAAATTCCTCTAATTAGAATTAACATTCAACAGATTAGACTTGACATTCATGTCACTAGAATTAACATGGAACAATTTAGACTTAATATTATTTTCATTACAAATAACATCCTTTTTATTAGATAAAAAATATCTTTCAATTAGGTTTAATATTTAACTGATTAGACTTAATATTCAACTCTATAGACTAAACATTCAACTAATTAGAATTAACATCATGCCAACTAAACTTAGCGTACAACACATTAGACTCAACATGTAACAAATTACCTTAATATTTAAGAAATTAGACTTAACATATAATCCATTACACTTAACATTTTACCTTAAAACTTATTGTTCAACCAATAGACTTAACATACAAGCCATTGAACTTTATTTCTAACTCTATAGACTTAATATTCAATCAATTAGAATTAACATCACGCCAATTAGACTTGGCATAGAATGCATGAGACTTAACATGTAACAAATTACACTTAATATTTAATAAATTAGACTTAACATATAATCCATTACACTTAATATTTCACTTTAAGACTTATTAATTAACCTAATAGAGTTAACATACAAGCCCTTGGACTTATTATTCAACCCAATAGACTTAACATACAAGCCAAGCCCTTGGACTTCACTTTCAACTCATTAGATTTAACATTCCACCTTGGACTTAACTTAATATCAAAAATTCTCAAACAAAAATCATATTTAGCCGGTATTTCTTTAGATTTTTATCTTTTTATGATGTTCAAACAGAAATTATAAATTTCTTTAAAAAACTAATAGCTTACAGGTCTTGTAAAACTTGCAGCGAAGGTGACGGAGGGCGAGGCCGAAGAAGGAGACAACATGACCGGAGCATGCACCCAAAGTCGGTGGTGGCGGATGGGGATGTCGGTGTCTGAGAGAAAAAGGAGGAAGAGGTGGAGATGAGGAAGGAGATGGGTTAGGAGAGAGGAGAAGAGGAGATGAGAGGAGGAAGGAGGAGCCATGGAGATTAGATCTGGAAAGAAGAGAGAGGAGGAAGGAGGGTGCGCTTGAGGTTGGTGGTGGCGGAGGGTGAGGCTGAAGAAGGAGACAACATGGCTGGAGCTTGCACCTAAAGTCAATGGTGGCGGAGGGTGAGGCTGAAGAAGGAGACAACATGGCTGGATCTTGCACCCAAAGTCGATGGTGGCTGAGGGGGATGTCGGTGTCTTAGAGAAAAAGGAGGAAGAGGGAGAGAGGAGGAAGGAGATAGGTTAGGAGAGAGGAGGAGATGAGAGGAGAGGAGATGAGGGGATGACTGGGCAAAAGGGCTGAATCACTTTTATTTTTGGTTTTGGGGCTTGAAACACATGGGAAAAAGGTTGAAGGTGAAATTACCCTAGAGGGGGTGAATAAGGTATTTGCTAATTTAATCTGATACTAGTGCTAATTTCAAAACTTATTAACTGACATCCTAGCAATTTATGATATACAACAATTTATATGCAAAGATATGTAATTAAACAAGGGTAAAATAAACATGAGACAATGGCGATATAGAATAGAATGAACAATGAGCACAAATGATACACCAAGGAAAAACACAAACACAAAATATGATTACGGAGTTTGGTTACCCTCGAGCTATGTCTCTACTCCTCACTCACGAGGAGAATCTCCACTATCACAATCGGTTTTTAACGTTCACCGAAAATATTTACAACTCACACAATCGGTTTTCTAGCTCACCGAAAACTTTCACAACTCACACAAATGCAATCACACAATACACCCTCTAAGTGTTGGCCTTTCACGTGTCACCTTCCTCAAGTGCTCGAATTTACAACCTCTCCTAGGCTTTACTACCGATGTCACTCCTCTTATAATTAGCCACGTCTCTCACCACACACTCCTCTCGGTGTCCTTGTGTATTACAAAGTGTATCTCACAATAAATCTCAAATAAAATATTTTGTTCTCTATAATGGATGAGAACACAATTAAGCCCACACTCAAAGTTACACTCTCACAACCCCAATATACTATGTATGAAATACTTAAGCTCAAGTGAGTGTGTGTAATCAATGAGTATAAATAAAATCAAACTCGAATTAATCTCGCAAATATAAATATGACAATTTAAGTATAAACAAGCTAGATAATTGAGTTTAGAAAACTTCTCCAAAATCACAAAGATATGTAGATGAAGGGATGACGTTGAATTCCTCAAACCAAAAATGTAAGCCTCTTCTTTGTGAAAACTTCTTCACACAAAACAAACTTGAAAAAAAAACTCTTAAACACCCTTAAACACTTGTAAAACTTATTTTAAAACTTTCTTGGATAGGTTTAGAAGTTTGAAGTAAGGGGTATATATAAGTTCACAAAACAAACCTAAAAAACCAAAGAAAAAGACAAAAACAATAAAATCTAGAAACTAGTAACTAGTCGTTACTGTGCAACGAACATATTGTAAGTCAACTTATGGCAGGTATGAGTCAACTTATATAGTATAAGTGGACTTATTATATTATGAGTCGACTCAGCAGATAAAAACACTAGCTGCGTAATACTTTATAAGTCGACTTGGTACTGTAGCAAGTCGACTTAAAACGTACATAGGACCTGATATGAACAGTAATAATCAACTATAAAACCTCTTTAAAAATATCAATAAATTTTAAAAAATGTAAAAATTGGGAAAATGTTTATAAACATAAAAATAAATGCGTTACAAAAAGAATTTTTTAAATTACATTTTCCATTTGTGAAAACTCTTCATTTTGCAAAATAGTCCAAAACACGAAGTTTCAACAACACATGATTTTGACACAATATTTTCAAACAAGTTTGAAACTTCTCTTAAGTGGATTAATAGACTTTATAAAAGATGTAAAATAGTATAATCAAGTATTTAATCCATAGATACATTATTTTGCAAACTTACAAAAGTATGAAAACGAAAACATGATTTCATTGATTTGAATATGTTAAAGATTGATTTTAATAAAATCATTTCAAGCACGTATAAACATGAAACAAATAAGTGTGTATATAAATATATCCATTTGTT